AATAATAATAAATAAATGCAAAATTTAACGTGATAAAACACTTCAAACCTACAAATCCATCAAGAATGCCTATATATATCAAACTAAGAGCATAGAAGGAAATTATTAAAGACAATCATTCTAGAATAAAACACGAAGTAGCTATCAATTTATCACAATTGAAATTTCTCAAATTTTTCATATTTGTTACTAAACTCTAAAAAAATATCGAGTTGCATGTGAATATGGATGTAGGGATAACTTCTACAAATACAAAGCATGTTATAGATGTCACATGGCATGTTGTCAATAATGTTGTCAAATCATTATATACAACAAATTAGAATAAAGTTAGTTGTACAATTTTTGTTGACAACCTATGTTTTGTCATGATCTCGGTTATCGATTTCAAAAACAGTTTTTCAAATGAATGTATATGATGTTTGGCAAGTCACGGTTGTAAATGGAATTGTACAAGTAGCACGACTCAACAAATTATAGAAAAAAAAAATGGAAAAGTGCCTACAAAGACCGTCTCTGATGTTATCGTTGTTGTATTGGAAATTCAACTTTTTAGATTTTCAGTATTTTATGTAAAAATAAAATGATTATCTTTTTTAAACAGGTGAAATGTAACTTCCCAAAATTTTTATATGATTTTTAGGAATTTTCACGAAATTTATAGGAGTATTTAAGAAATTTGGGACTAAAATATATTTTTAGGGATTAAAGAAGCAAATAAAGGACTTTATTTAATTGCACCTTAGTCTCTGATGAAGTCTATATCTTTTGGATGACTTGTTGGATAAATGAGATCCTTCTAGACCCGCCATTCCGAGCGCCAAACAAGCTATATCGAAGCAAGCAGAATGGGAAAGTGGGGGCTTATAACCGGCTTGGCCAACTTATAACTTGACGGTCAATTTCTTTGCTACTTTCATAACCAATCTTCTCATTTACGATCAACATCTTCTGGAGCTTTTCTTGAACGAATATATAGAGATCTACATGAATGACTACCTCAATGTTAATGGATTATCTCTCAATGGCAGTTGTAAATTCATCATTCGACTTGAGAAACATCAAATCTTATGTGAGGATCATCATACTTCGACAGTGTAGGATTATCTCTCAATTGGGTATGACAATAATCACACGAAGATTGAAGGATAATTGGGAACGATTTATCACTCTTAAATAATAATAAAACTAGTACTAAATATTCATAAATATGAGTATTGATAGTGAAAGTCCTTGGCCAAGGCGGAGTCAGAATTTTAAAGGGGTTTCAAGTAGAATTTATTGAATCAATAGCTCAATGTGACGAACATAATTTGAAATGAGGTCAACACTAATTCCATATCTTTTAACCAATTGAAATATATATGGTGGATGGATTGTATTTCACGCTAACTATGCATTAAGGTCTGGTCATACCACTTAACTCATCTCGTCAAATGGATAGTCTCGACACATTGATATATGTTAATTGCGCTAACTAATATGTGAATGAATTTTCCTTATTACTGATATTTTATGCAATATTTCTTGGAACTTGGAAGCTAGCTAGGGAATTTTAGTAATAGTTCAAGTTTTAAAACAAGGATCATGCTACGTATACATAAAAGTTGACATATTGATTTACACTTATATGAGCTGACAGATTTTTGTACATTGATTTTGACACTGCCTTTTCCGATCTGTTGAACCTGGTAGAGTAAATCACAGTACAGCAGAAGGAAAAATCACCTGGAAAGGAAACAACTTCTATGAAAAAAAAAGTTCCTGTTTTTTTTTTACTATGGTTGGAGAAGAAATGGTGATTTCAATATATATATAAAGAACATCAAAGACTTGCACAGCCCGCAAGTTCGTCCCAAGAGAAGAAAGAGCTTTGTTTTTACCAAGAGAAGAACAACCTTCTTCCTTTACAAAATTCTCTCAACTCTCTGTTTCTCTCTCTGTATCTCTGCTTCTGTGTTTGCTTGACTGGAATTGAACCCGATGTGCTTTACC